CGTAAAGAACCTCGGCTTACACCATATTTTTGCAGGTCGAGATAGGCATACCCAGAGACTGAAAAGTGAAACACTGTCGGAAATGTCATTAAATTTAATGTAGATTAATATATTAATGTATATGACACTTCATATATCTTGTACATTAACAAGAGCTTAATATATTTGTAGATTAAATTTTATGCTTAAAGGCAGTGTAGATTTAAAGAAGAGGTTTCTCCATTTTTTCTGCATCTCATTATACATCATCATTCTTATCATATATTCATAATCACCACGCCATCAAGATCAGTGATTCATTCATTCATTCATTCGTTCATTCCAGATATGGCAAGAAAGCTATGACTCTTGCATCCGTACATGTATGTGTACATTAAATTTAATGTGCAATCATGACAATTACTTTAATTTAATTTATATTAAAGTTATGCAGAACTTTCAGACAGTGTAAACTCTAACTTGCTAAAAACTAACTTGGTAAAGTCTCTAGAATATGAAACGATCGATATAGTTATGAAGACATTGGTTATCACCACCTACTTCGTGGGTAAGACAAATCCAGTTACCTTGCCTCTGCAAGTGTCACAACGATCAATTATTGATTCATTCATTCATTTTCCCGGTCACGTCATGAGGTCAGAGTCGTATTTCTTTATTTCTTTTGAAATTTTCCACCATAATTTCAGAGAATCTGAGGTTCTTTTTAATAAACTAAACAAGTTCGTCTGCGCCTATATTGAATGTCTCAGCTCTGCCAAGTAATGAACTTTCATTTGTACCGTTCTGCCGATCTCAAAGTTCAAACGTGTTCGCCAGATCGCGTCAGACACAGTACGACCGTGGTGCGCTCTACAGAGCGATTGACATATTCGGTCACCACCGGCCAAAGGAAAATTCACCCGATCTAGGATCACTTTGACCGTACCGTAAGATGTTCGAATTGCGATATCTTTGCATCGTGGTGAGAGTCTCTTGCGGCCGTCGTCCTGAGAGAGTTCATTGTAATGGCCCTCTCCTAGTGCCATGCCCGCAGCCAAAGAGAAACCTGGCGCTCGCCACCGCAGCCAGGCAGCCTGCGACCTACACAACCACTGACACGACGCGCAATCAGAGCTTGAAGTCGCCGACAGAAGACTCCCGCCACGCAACGCACAGCCGGCCTCTGGACTTCACTATCTATGCTAGAGTTTGACTTTTTCGCGTATAACTACTCGGTCAGAGATGTTTGCATTTATTTAATGGATAATATACATTACAGTAATTTCGTGAAAGTAAATTAAATGTAATGTACACATGTACATGGAATGCCGAAGTCTAAGATTCATCTAGGTCATACCTGGAACATATGTTATATCTGAAATGAATGATTTTCTTAAATGGGTGATTACGAGAATATGTTATGAATGACGATGGGGCATAAAAACAGGTAATTAAATCTACATTAATTTTAAATGTATATTAAATGAACAAATGTAATGTATTTTAAATGACCAAGGCCCATTACTTTTCATGGACGTTAATACATTAACCAACATTAAATTTATTGACATTCCTGACAGTGTACTACGTCAAGTACCTATGTCGCCAACAGAAGACTCCCGAAGATACACAATACACAGTACGTCTCTACACCTCAATGTGGTTTCACTGTTTCCAAGCGATTTACTTTCTCATATATAGATGTAGTAGAGACATACAGCGAAAGTATTCTAATACTGTACCGAAAAGTCACATGTTTTCAAGACTTTTCATGGATCTTTATACCAAAACGGTATAAAGGATATCTTTTCTTTCAATATGTAGTAAGTGCTTTTGCATAACACATTGTGCAATCAGAATCTAAGTTTTGTGAATCCGTGATACTAAGAAAGTTATCGTAAAAATCTTAAAATTTAAATATAATTTAATTTCTAGAGTACTCACAAATCTGAGTCCAATTTGTCGCTACGTTTCTTTGGCATACAACAATGGAACATGTTTGATTATCTTTAAAAACTTATTTTATTACGAAGTGTAAAGTCAACTATTTTAAACCAGGACTTCGACTTTGTCTTCAGATGCTGCCTCAGTTAATTAAAACGTCTTCTTCGAAACCTAAGAACCTAGGTTCACGCCACGGCTCTGCCATTTTTTCTATTTGCGGACGGAAATCAGTATATTAGATTAAACTGACAAATAATACCATAAAGTAGGTGCTATTCCTAGACCATTCGTTTGAGTTACGAGTGGCTGCTGGTAGGAAATTTCGCTATTTCATCAAAAGTACCAAATTGAAGCAGCAGCATACTTTTTGCTCCCAGAAACTAGGTTAGGTGATTCAAGGCATCAATGAATGTGACTGCAGCGACTCTGACTGGAAAGTCTCAGGGTTCGAGGCCTCACAGCCTCGAATCCTAGCTTTGAAGCTAGGATGGAAAGTAAGTCACTGTCAGGACCTAGGGCACCACATTAGATTTCAGCCACTGTCTTCAGAAGAGTTCTAGCGACCAACTGCTCTAATCGATAGTTTCCCGCGGTTTCTTCTATCAAAACCAGGCGAACGTCCGACCATTTCCCTTATCAAACGGGTCACGGACTGCACGCTATCTTTCCTTCCTTTCCTGACTGCACGCTATCTTTCCTTTCTTGTCTTTAATTTTCCCCTTACACACCCTTCCTTGCACTACACTACCACGCCAGTCGGGCGCTAAGAGGTTGTCGTGACTAGAGCTGTGCGGCCGCACTTGGACATTTGGACGCGGAAAACGCCGCATGTTTGCGCCGGATCTTGCTATTCGCCAAGGGAAGAACACCGAAAAACTTAGCGATAAAACATGCACTACACTTACGGAACCAATGACCGTAGCACTTGTCGCGCCAGGAAACGCGAAATATTCCGTCAATAAACAGCCAACTTTCACACACGGCGGCGCAGGGGGGGAGAGGCAGTTGTGTGTGCGTGTGTGTGGTGTGCGTGTGCGTGTGTGTGCGCGCGTGTGTGAGGGGTGACGTGTGCGCCGGCGGAGTGCGCAACCGCCGCGTGGAGCGCCGGCGCAGCGCCGCAGGTGCGGCCGCCCATTGGCCAACGCGCGCCGCTGCCCGTAATTGGCGCTCGGCGACGCCTCCGCCTCGCGCAGCTGCGCACTGGGCCGGCGCCGGCGGAACGGGGCAACGGGGGAGAGAGACACACTCACGCACAGGCGATGCCAGACACGGAGAGAGAGAGAGGGACAGAGAGAGGGAGGGAGGGAGAGAGGGACAGAGAAAGAGGGAGAGAGAGAGGGAGAGAGAGGGAAGGAGAAGGAGGGAGAGAGAGGGAGAG